CTATTGAAATTTGTTGGTGGTCTGGGAAAATGCCTGTGTATAATGAGTGATTACAAATGTGAGCTAAAGGGCAACTAATTAAATCAGAACAAGCTTTCAGAACTTTACTTGTTACGTCATCAAAACCTGACGAGTTTTTTGGTTTCATGATACGTATTATATTCTTTATCTCAGCTTCATTTATTGGGATGATTTTGATACTAGGAAAATTTGTAGGAAACGCAACTTTCAAAATTGACAAAGCATTTTCATTTCCCATCTGATGTAAATTTAAGCTCTCAGCAATTGTTAGGAAAAATTTATTGAAGTCATTGGCAACTGTTTCTAGGTCCTTTGCTTTCTCAGATTTAGCCAGAAGAGACGGCATCTCTTCAGATAAATGCATTTTTCCAGTCTCCCTTTTAATTATGTTCCATGTCATTTTTATTTTATTTTCTGACATTGCTATGAGTCAGCTATATAATGCTGCCTTTTAGCTTCTTTTATAACATTTCTAAGAATTTTACAGTACTTAACATAAAATGCTCTTATATTTGGATTATTACTATTCCTACTGTTAACATATAAAGTCCTCTTATGTTTGCAAGATATTTTTATCCCTTGTGTGATCCAGTCATTCTTTAGTTCGCACACATTTTTGTATTTAATTGGGAAACTGGCTTAAAAAATATTTAGAAAAGAAGACAGAAACAAGTTGTACTTATTATTGGTGTCATTTTCCTTATAAACACGTTCCCATGATTCTCCTTTTAGAAGGAGCTGAAACTGCTGATATCTATCTGATATATGGAATCATGGAATTTTAAGGATAACTATAATTTACTTCCTCATGAAGCACCATTTAGAAATAGCATCAAATGGTTTCACAGCCTCACATGCAGCATGTCCTTCTATAAAACTTACTAAAAGTTATTAACTTTAAAAGTTTTACATGTCAAATAGATTTTAACGTATTGAAAGTTACTTACAACATGTTTCAACCTATAAGGTCATCATCAGGAGTTTTAAAATTTTAAATTATAAATGAGGAAACTGTTGTGCTTCCATATCGTAGTTTCTGGTGGTTACCTAGCAGTCCCTTCTATGCGCATGTATATATGAAGTGCTGGGTTGTTCTGTGTGCTGTGTTATGCTGCATAATATTAACTTTTAGTAAGTTTTATAGAAGGACATGCTGCACGTGAGACTGTGTGACCATCTGATGCTAAATGAAGTGCAGCAGAATGCTACAATATAATATTATTTTGAAATAATAGCTAATGACCAGATTTGGGCTGATACTCACTCTTTCCTGTTCATTTTTCTTTATTTGTTTCTCTGCTTTATTTTTGCCAGGTCCCTTTCCATGAAATTTATGAGACAGGTATCTGAAATTAGAAAGAGAGACAACATTAGTCACTGTATTTTAGGATCTTACAGAATGAGACCATGTTTCCAAGTAACAGGTAACAACCTTTCATTCTGAAGTTTCAGCCAGAAAATAGGGGTATGGTCCATATATAGTTCAATCTGTTATTTTGTGAAATGATAAAAATATGTAACATTCACTTTTCCATCACAGCTAACTCATACAGCCAACAGCCAGAAATGGGAATGTTATAGCAAGTTAAAGTCATAGGGATTGAAATGATTAATGCAAAATATTTTAATAAAAGTACAATGGAATAGTAATAATTTAAAGGAATGTTTCTTCTTAGTTCATGCAGCCTATCTGCAAAATGAACCATTCTGCCACATTCTATGCCTACACAACAAAGTATTTACACACTCAAATGTCACAATGTGTCGGCTAGTTACAAACTGAGATACACAGAATGGAAGAAAAGGAAGTCAGAACAACAAATATATATCAAAACACTCTACTGAAAGCATCTGAGGTGGAAGACAATAATCTCACCCCCCATGACAGGGTAATCATGATAGTGCTGGTCAGCAGAGGGACCCTAGAATTTAACATGGGCTCTAGCCCACTGGGGGGGGGGGATCCTTTGTATTCCCAAAGCTTTAACTCTGGTAGATGTGAAGGCATCCTCTGTGAGCAGAAAAATCTGTACACAGATATGAAGGAGGATCAAACTCAGAACCTTCTGAATGGGTATAACAGTTTACCCCAGGACCTTTCTCTTAAGGACCTACTACCACACAAAAATTTAGTACACTATATTAAGTGGCTCTAGTGTTGCTCCCACCTCAGTGACCATGTTAATATGGCTGACGCTAGACAACTGAAAGAACATGCTGAATGGCACGATGACAATACAGAGTTTCAGACAAAAATCCATCAGTTGGTTCACACATGATGGTGAGGATGGCACACACGGATGATAAAGAAACACAGTGGTCCCATGATCTTGTCTGTTTCCACTGAAAAGCTGCTTGCTCCTTGGAATTTGTTTCTTAAAATGCCAATTACTGTGGGAACTTCTCTAAAGAATGTAAGAAGGCAGTTCCATTGGACAGGCTACCTTCTGCAATGTGGCTTATCTTAAAAACAGATATGCTATTATCTGTGCTAACCTGAAAGCCTCCTTTGCATTGAGCATATGTCCACCAGCATCTATGTAGTCGAGTTTGACATCTTGTTTGTAGTCCTCCTCCTCTTGAAGTCTGAGGTTAGACCACTGTAGCACTCACAACGCCCAAATTTTTCATCATCTCTGGAAAAGATAAAGCAATGCTGTATATTAAATTCCTTAATTAATCTTGGCCTCAACAGTAGACGAGCTTGCTTACTTTCTCCTGTCTTGACCATCGTGCACACATCCCTAGTACTCAAGTGGCTCAACCCCGAGAGATGAGACGAGACTTGCATTTCAGTTATAGAGGAGATGACAAACTATTCAAAGCTCAGATATTCTTTACCCTTCAAAATCTCCTACCCATTCCATAATCAGAGCAAGTGGCTGATCTTTGTGCCCACGACAACTCTCTTCCCTAAGGTCTGCTGTGGAAAAGACTTAACAGCTACTGGATGACTTAATAGGAATCAAGTGGATATGATAAATCTGCATATGCTGATACACTGTACTCCCTCCAGCTTCTGTGCAATAAGAAGCTAACAGAAAGTACACACCACAGCACCGAGAACATCTGTCCCTACAGCTCAGATCTTAAAGAAGGAAGAGCTGAGTTCCCCATTAGTAGGCACCTCTCTAGATGCCAGAAGATTACTTGTCTGCTCATGAGTGCAGTGCAGTGAGAAGGCCCCCCTCATGACCATTCTCTCTATGTCCTCTATTCTGAATCTGTGATTCTCACATCCTCTCGTCAGACAATGCAACAAATAATCTCAAGACAATGGTAACACAAACAGGAAGGTAGCTCCATGAAAGTGACAGCTCCTTGTAGGCCAAGTCACTCCAACTTCATTGCCGTGACATTTCAAGACAATATAAACCTGTATCTAAATTGTCGGTTTTGAGAATCAGAAATTATTTCCCTTTTTCTTCCACCTATACCATGCATCAGATCCAAACTAAACTTCATACGATCTGTCCTACATACCAGGCAGTGGTTCACAATATGACCAACAGAAATAACAGTAGGATAAGTACCACACCATGCCCACCCTCAGGTTCAGTGAGACAGAGCAAACAGATAAATCAACTACAATACAACTTCCCCATGAAAATGTGAAACAAATAAGCTTAGATTGACTCAGATTGCAACAGTGACAGGACAAACACAGAATGAATGAACAGTAAATCCTATCTGGAGTTCTCATTTTTGTATGTGTGTCTGCATACACGCCACTGCTGTAGAATTCACTCTTTCTTTCCTGCCAGCTCATACATGTGTTACTTACTTGTGTGTCTTATCCTCAGTGGAGTATTTCTGATCTTGGAGTTGAGCAAAACGTGAAGCTGATGGCTTATTCACATCCTTGTGCTCTGTATAACCCTTACTGACTGCAACTGCAACTCCTACACCTACATCAGGTTCCACGTCCAAGATTGGTACTTCAGCAGTCAGCAGTCCTCTCATGAGTAGTGGAGAGCATAGGTTTGTATTCAAACCTGCCACAATATGTCTATTTATATTTTAACAAATGTTAACATAGTATAAAAATCAACACATGAACCTTTATTCAATTCCCCATTTTATCCACTACTTTTTATAGCAAAAACATAACATAACACCCCTTCATGAATCCTGACTGCTCTTCTAATACTATGCATGCAAGAATGATTCATAACACAATGGAAATTAAATGGAAAATTAAAAGCAGTGAAATTATTTTTTCCACAAAAGAGGAATGTGACCTATGTATGGGTGTCTACAGTCCATAGAAAGACAACCCCAATTTTGCCCTCTACTGCATATAGGCATTCATAATACAGGAACCTTCCAACTGCTACGTACATTATTAACCCGTTGCCGTGGTTCGACGTGTATGTTTCGTCAGGGNTGTACATTATTAATTAACAATGCTAGTTATGCATAAGAGACTTAAACAAGACACCCACTTAATGCCCACCCCTTCAATGTACTGATACTGTATTGATTATACGTGCTAATATTAAACAGTAACGATTAATGTGCTTGAATTAAGATCCCTAAGAAAACTGCAGTATACAATTAAATATGGTACACCATTTCTGAAATCCTTAAAATATAAATGTACAATTAAAAGCAATACAAAAGTCTATGCTGTACATAAAGAATCTGCAAATGACCCGCCAATCTGAACTTCTTTCCAAGTTCCATGTTTGCCCTCTTCTTCCTGACGTTTCTTCTCTTCAATGATCTCCCTCTCGAAGTCCTGTAATGTAAATTTTGTATGAGATTAGCAAATTCACAGCCAAAAAATTACCAATTCAGAATTAGCTTTGTGATAAACCAAAATGTGAATCCAAACTTGCTCTTACTGAAATATGAACTGCTTACCCACCAAACACTGCACAAAAAATTACTGCACTGTAAAGTATCGACTATACTGTGTAGGATGTAAGCTTGTGACAGCAGTGGTTTTGAGAATTCTGTCCTCTGGGATATAATGCCGTGTAGTCTGTAGAAAGTCAACAGACATTTTGGAGGAACATGTCGCCTCCATCTTCAGGGTTGAAGAATAAACAAAGTAAGAAACCAGCAATGGCAGGTAACAAACAAAGTCAGGCCTGTATATTCTAAAGGGTTCTGACGATGGTGTATTACAAACGGAATTACTGAGTTTTTGGACTTTTTCCATCACCCGGTACCACAGAAAACAGAATACATGTTTCAGAAACTGGATCTGTTGCTGTCCTCAGGGGAGGGGCAAAGTTGGGCCCCTTAGAAACAGCTAATCTCAATCAGGTCCAGTGATTGAGATTAGCTCTTTCTAAGGGGCCCAAATGAATGCAAGGCCAAGCTTCCTATCTGCTTCATGTTGGTTTCTTGCTTGTTTTATTCTTTGACTCTGAAGATGCAGGCAACATGCTCCCCTGAAACTTTGGATGATTTTCGATGGACTACACAGCATCATACCCAAGAAGTCAGAATTCTTCTTACTAAACTGATCATCCTGAAACTTCTTTGCCAAAATATATCTGAAACACTTTTTAATATCACAATGTTTTAAAGTTAGAGTTCTATTAGAAACAAGGTTATATAATGAGGATACCAGCCAGGCTGTGTTTTGAGCCGGCATTCATAGCTAGTGTTTACCTAGTGAAGGGTGAATTTCAGGGCCTGCTATTCCGCCTTTCAGCCATCAAGTCACAACATATATAGAGAGTGCTGACCTAAGGCTGCTGGCCTTCTCAGACTGAGTGAGTGATCACAGTCATGCTCCAGCCAGTTTTACCATGCTGCCAATTGTCTTGCACTTCACACTTCTAGAACTACATAAAATTTAACAAAACTGTACTCACCTGGAACATTCCCAGCTTCCACAGCACCACTGTCTATTTCATGTCTCACTTTAACATTCTCCATTTCACTGGGATCGCCACCTGCAGCATGTCAACTTCCCCCTAGAGGAGCAAGACCCAAGATCATGAGCCCACTGACTATCCGGTTCTATATCTTCAGCTCTCAAAGGTTTACACCGAATCTTCCGTACCTGGTAAAAACACTTTACTGTATAAACACGTAACGCCTTACATCATGATACCAGACCATCATCACAAAACTTCAGAACAAATATACCTTAGTTCGAAATTTCCAATGAGTTTTTAACATTTACCAAAACAGATTTCTGCATCAGATATACCTACATGTGCTACAATGCTAAAATCTTAGTGCACAATATTATAAGGCAGGCATATGCAACAATGGCAACGCCTAGCTTCTATGTGGGTGTGTTCTAATTCTAGTCTTTTCATATGGTATTTGGTGAGGCATATGTGTGTGGAATAGCTGAATACAGGGAGCACACTAGTTTGTTCCTTTTGCTTTTAGGCCTCATATATTCTGGTGGAATACACTTAATATTTTATGTTTTGTTTATTTTACTGTACTACTAGTTTTGTTTATGATTCCGTTTGCTTAATTTATTTTATTGTTTGATATATTAGCTTCTTCTTTGACCACTCTTGGCCTGGTAGTTTTGTTATAACTAGTCTATTGAGGGCAGCGTGCTTCCCTATCATTAATTATTAGATCACTCTCTTTGATAAGGCCTGTTGATCACAAACAATCATAATTCCTTGTTAATGGAAGTTTTCTGCATCTGCCGGACGTCCGGGCTTCGGTTCCTTTTTGCTCTAATTCGTTGTCACTTTTCCTGTCTAACGTGTTCTCAATTGTATTTTGTTTGTCGGCTGGTTGAAGTTATTAAGTAGCTCATTGCGGTTTGCAATGGTAGGTACTGGAAGAGCATAATTTACTTTTGGCTTCCTGTCTTTTTTCCGACACGATGAGAGCACAAGAACCCATTTCCCTTTTTTGAGTTTCAATTGTGTCGAATTCTCGTTGTGATGCAAGTAACATGCGTCTGTACTTACGGTCCCATTGGGCGTATTTATCTTTCCTTGTAGCAGTTCAATAATTTTTTGTGCTGAACTGAGTTGTATTAAAGTCTTTTGTAGTTCTACTTTAAATTTATCGCAACAAGCAGACGATACTTCACTTGTTTTACTACTATCATTGATGATCATTGATGAAAACCAGTATGTCATCAGCGGTCATCAGCATCAACAGGTGTACCAACCACCACATTTGATGGGTGATTGGCACACCAGGGAAACTGCCAACCGCAATTTCCGCAGAAATAATCGCCGATTTCAAGCAGGCAACTGGTTTCCAGATTAGCAGCCGCACACTGAGGAAACTTACGTTTCATTAGCTGCTCACATCATCTTACGTGTGTTTGTTCGACGTAATGCATGATTGTATTTGATTTGTGTTATTCTGGTCCGTCACACTAACAATTACAAAGATAAAACAACTCCGTCCAGTGTGATTATTTAAGTTTTACCACAGTTTTGCCGCCACAGGCGACACAAGTTCAGCCCCCGTCAAGAAAGACGATAGAAGTGACACGAACCTACTTGGTTTATAAATTTTAACTTAAACAACAAAGTTTTAAAAATTTTGATATACCAGGAAAGCTGCTGTGATTGTGAAAAAATTGGATTTTGTATATATTATGTATTCCAGACATTGTGTGTGTAGCACTCAGAACACATGTTGTGATAGTAGTTTCCAAATAAGTATCGATGTTCCCTCTGAAGATGATCCGTAAGGATCGAAACATGTAAGGTTGCTGAGTTTTCAAGTGGTAAAACCAAAATAGTCACACTGGACGGAGTTGTTTTATCTTTGGCATGATTGTATTTTTTAATTCCGTGCAGTTACCTTCTGCAGTGGATGCCAAGAATACTGATCCTGTCATAATGTGGTAATTGAGACCAGTTGAGACAGCGTTAGAAGAGAGGATGACGACATTGCAGTGAATTGCAGTTCACTTATATTCGGTAGACAGAAGCAAACATTATAATATGCGATATGCAAGCACAGGCTGACACTCCATAATGTGAAGCTTAGGTCATGGTGAACACAGCTCTGTGCTCTATGGTGAAAGACCTGGCTTCTGTCAGTTCATAAATTTACCACTTAGTTGTGTGTAGGACAGTGCCAAAATGTGGTAGCAGTTTTCAGCGCATGAAGGAAAACTGGGAATCCCATGTGGAGTAAATAAAGCAGCATCACACAATGAATTGGAGACATGTTTAAGCTCACAAAAGAAAGGCTTCTGGGTCAGAAGAAAACAGCGCTGGACTGGAACTAAGAGCTAAGGTTGTTACAAATAGTCGTGGCAGAAATTAGGAGACCGGGTTGGAGTGGCCACATACTTAAGATGGGCAAAAAGATGGTAAAAATGAATGATCAAGGCACAGAGAGCAGAAGAAATGTTAGAGCTTAAAAAAAAAAAAAGACATGAAGAATGCAGAAGAGAACTTTTATTCTTACTGTTACATGGAGGATTGAGGCTGTGGGCTATCACAGGTAAGATCAAATTATAAGGGATGTTAACAACAAACCTAAGTATATATTTTATCTTAAATCTTATTTTTATTAATAATTTATACATAAGTATTTTCAACACAATACTTCTTTTATACAGAGATATTTATAATGTAGAGCAGTGTGTCTACTTCATTAACCTAACAGACCTCTTGTCATATACAACACTGGCAATCATTTTATCTTATGTACTTATCATAAATATACTGCTTTGTGTCTATACAAGTGCTTCTTTTGGTGGAGGTGGCTTTTCAAATTCTCCCAGCTCTTCATCATAGTAAGCACCTGCACGCCATGGTCTCAACTCCCATGGCACCTGATCTTCCATCTTCGTAAGTGTCACCCCCAGATCTTCTAGTGTTGGTACTCCAGGAAGGACAGTGTCAGTTGTATGTTGCTACAAAAAGCCCTTACTATCAACAGACATGTAAAGTATTTACATGCAGAAAATCCTGGAGGAGATACTGAAATGAATCTAGACAACTTCATATTTCAAGGAATAAGATAATTTTATATCCCATTAATAAACAATTAAAGAAGGCTCCTCCCATAGTAAACTCTGAAGGTACAATGGCACTAATACCAAAGCATGCCATGAAATCCTGAGCCACTTGCACCAATTTCACTGTCCTAATAGTACTGGGTGATGTGTACATCACAAAGATCCCCATTACATAAAATCTGAGGTGTCCTGCTTCATCCCTCTTGTAATTTATATTCTTCCCCCATGCTAGATTACATTTCACATCCATACAAAACCACTGGCAAAATTAAAATCTTATATATCTTAAGCTTGGGTGTTTTGAAAAGTACATAAAATTTAATGAAATCCACAGTTTTTTTTTGGGGGGGGGGGATGTCAGCCACCAACTGGGCTACTGTACCAGCCCTGGGTGTTAGATGATGAGTGTGGAGTAGTTGGTGCAATGAGAACTGGCAGGGGAAACCACTAGCCACTTTATCTCTGATCCCTCTGAAGGGCTCCAGAGACAGTCTGCATTGGCAGTAAAGAGGGAAGTCTCTGCCCCAACTGAGAAGAACTGAACCTCAACTGTATGCACATCAGATACTATGATAATGGAGATATTCCAGTTCACTAAATTCTTTTCTGATCTGCAAGTGATAATTCTTTTGTGGCAGCTAATGTAATTTTTTATGTCATTCACATGCCTGTTTATGGACACAAAATTACAGGTATAAATTGTGTTTACACAGGCATAATAAACAATGCTCTTACCAATTCTAGTCCTTCAAAGTGCAGAAGACCAATAGGCCACGAAGGTGATATATTCTGTATGCACCACGTCTTGGCTAAGAATATAGGGTCAAACCGCATGTCATACCGGTAGTAACCCCATTTACTATCCTTGCGCATTACTGCAAAGAACCAGTCAACAAGATCTCCCAGAAGGTAACGCCTGGGCCTGATGGAGAGAAATAACACAGAATTAGTCAAATGTCAAAATAAGATTACTAAATTTACATATTTATTACAATGTAAAACAAAACTTAAAATTTGGCAATATTTGAGCGACACACAGTATTTGACATTATTCCTTCAGGATGTCTTTAAAATGCATCCTGTCAGTCTTTGTAGCTACATTCAAATGACAGCAATTTTCTACTATTTACAGAAACTGCACCAAAATACCACTTTAACTTTACATCCTCTTTGATGTAGATTAATAAATAAAATGCATTCTTTGATCATAGAAGAACATAAGACTGCTATCTTTTGATGACAAGATGAAATACTTGCACAATCTAAGCATAAACTTAAAAATATCTTAGAGACACAATACAATTATTCAGGCAGAGCATTCAACCATGTTTCTGAAATCACGCCAGCCAACACTGGTCACATATGCTTTCCACTGAAATTCATTTTACCAGAAAATTCTTCATATGGTTCTTTTACGACTACTACTCATTAAAATAATAAAACAAGCTGTCTTTAGAGGAACTACTTTCAATTAATTGCTTCCATATGCAAGGGAATGTTAATGGGATTAAATTCATAACTAAACAACTTTGTGTTCAACACAAAGTTTCCACTAGTATGTACTTCCACTACATGAAAGTTCTAATTGTAGTCTTCTGGGTTGTAACACCATGTAACTCTTTTAGCTGGATACCAACATTTCAGAACATGCTACCTCTCTCTTCAGTGTTTAAGTGTGGAGGATGAGGCATTGGTTTGATTACTTATGCTGACTGCAAGGAACATGGTCACCGACACCCAAGGGAGGATGTAAGGAAATGGAGTCCAAGCCAGGCTAATGGGAACAGTGGGTAGGAAAATGGTAGTTTGAAGGGGCACATCATGTTCTTTGGCACAAGTGGGAAATGGATTTGTGAGAAAAAAACAGCCCTTTCTGTGGCTCCTATATGGTTTTCTCATGTTAGGTCTCAGTGATCACCCTTCTCGCAATGTGCCAACATAACAGAGACAATTCATCAACTTACGCTCTTCAACCCTGAACACAGAGGCAACATGCTCTTCTGAATCTTGATGCCCACCTACAACACTACATGGTGTCACATGCCAGAAGAGAACAATCTGAACAGTGAAGAAAGCAGTCTTCTGGGCTTTGGCGCCGTGTATATGTGGTGTTAACCGACGTTTCGGAGGAACGTATCGCCCCCATCTTCAGGGTTGAAGAAAAAGTATAGGTAAATCTGCAAGCGACAACACCGTGAGACACGGTAACGCAGACTGAAGAGGATACCGTTAGAGCAGAGAGGGAAGGGGATGAACTGCGAGTAAACAAGTGAAAGCAGTGGTGTGGGAGGGGTGGGGGAAGGGAGCCGGGACCAGCGTGATTTGTGTAGGGGAGAATATAGCAAGGTTAACTGGCTGGGCTTTAACTGTGNAGTTAAAGCCCAGCCAGTTAACCTTGCTATATTCTCCCCTACACAAATCACGCTGGTCCCGGCTCCCTTCCCCCACCCCTCCCACACCACTGCTTTCACTTGTTTACTCGCAGTTCATCCCCTTCCCTCTCTGCTCTAACGGTATCCTCTTCAGTCTGCGTTACCGTGTCTCACGGTGTTGTCGCTTGCAGATTTACCTATACTTTTTCTTCAACCCTGAAGATGGGGGCGATACGTTCCTCCGAAACGTCGGTTAACACCACATATACACGGCGCCAAAGCCCAGAAGACTGCTTTCTTCATAGTCACCGCCGTGAAAGCCTCAAATCTTACAATCTGAACAGTCACTGTTATGAAAATCTGAAAAATTATACAGGAAAAGTTGGAATGCAACTTCAAAGATGGATGTCGTCACCACGTTTGTTATTTCTAACCCACTAAAAATGTTTCACACAAAATATGTAGCTATTCCATATTTCATATGCCTCACTTATATGGTTCATCAGTTATGATCTCCAAATATAAAAGTAAAAACAGATTATGCACAGGTACCATGCTTTTAACTTTACAGTTAACACAGAAACAGGATCAACAAAGTACTTTCAGTACATCACCAAACAAATATTATGAACCCTACAATGAATAATTAAATGAACTTTAGAAGTTTTCAGGGCTGTGATGTCAGTACTGAAGTTGACAGAACAGAAAATTATGAACGTTCGGATGGCTTCAGATGATAGTAAGTTAACAACAAGTTTCACGGAAATTGGTTGATTCCAAATTATAGGCAAGAAAGACATTATACCATTACTAGCTCTTTTATAAAATGAAAATTATGTAAAACTGAATGCATTATCATCTAGAATGAACAATTACAAAAGCCCATACCCTACAGCTTGGTATGTCTTGCCAACAGTATCTGGATCCTTGACAGCATTCACAATTGCTGCTGCTACATCGGACACAAAGACAGGCTGCTTTACTGTCTGCTCCCCCTTCTGCCAGAGTGGTACAGCTCTCATCTGGTGGCGCAAGAATTTAGTATACGAACTGCCAACAGATGAAAATTTCACCTATATGGCAATGGCTGATTCAAAATAATGAACTTTACATCTATATCCAAAACAGTATACAGATTTGAGGTTCTCACAGTGGTGGTTATGATAAGTTATATCTTCTGGGGTATAATGCTATGTAGTCCATGCATACTGCATGCTGGCTTATTCTTCAATCCTGAAAACAGAGGGGACATGTTCCTCTGAAACACTGGCTGACTTCCAGTGGACAACATGGCATTATATCCCAGGAGACAAAGCTCCTCAAAACACTGTAACATCAGATTATACAGTATTCATACAAATCTAAGACTTCCTACAATCAGAGATGAAAGAAGAAAAATCAGAGAAAAAATTATTTTGTTCTGTACATAACTTCAACCTTATTCATTGCCACAGTAACATTGAATTTTCACAGGACTGTATAATTATAGATTTGTTCTGTAATGTTTCACTACCACAACTTCATCTTATGTATCATATCCTTTTAGGACCACCACAAAAAGCTTCTTCCCACATTAATTCATTTAAAATTTTGACATCATGTGTCCCTTTCAGTGTGCATATTCATCTTGTGTTGAGTGACTAATACAATGTCCTACAGTGTTCATTCTCCAAATGAGAGAATGGAAAATATTACTTAAAGAGGAATTCTGTAATTTACAGACATACTGTTTTGGCAGTTAACTCAAGGGACAGGTCTAATATATAGCTTGAACAGAATCCACTTGGCAGGATAACATTAAGATGGAAAAATATTTAAAATATGATATGGACCGAAATGGTTAAGAATCTTTATCAAAAGCTTTTGGTGTCTGCTTATTTGGGCATTGCTACCAGAAACTTAAGCAGTTACCCTACACTCACTCTTCTATATTTAAATACAAATTCCGGCAGCTGCAGTTTATAGTCCTACTGAACACAAAAACTTAAAAATATTGTATGTCCAAAAAGTATCCGACGTTATTTTTTTCCGCTATAAGTAATGACCAAAGGGGTGGGCAAACTGAGCGTAGTGGTAGAAGGGACTTTCATGTGCATGAATGATTTTTTGCTGACTCGCGTGCCAGATGCGTCTCTGGCTGCCAGATAGCGAAGTGGCGTAACGCGTGTTCGTCACATTCTCGTTTCGCTCAAGATGACAGAACGCTTGGGGCAGCGATACTGCATTAAGTTTCGTCAGAAACTTGGGGATACACAAGCGGAAACAGTTTGCAAAATTCAGCAGGCTTTCGGCAATGATGCAATGGGGGTCATTCAAATTAAAGAGTGGTTTAACCGCTTTAAACATGGCCGTATGCCAGCGGACAGTGAGCAGCGTTCCGGGAGACCGTCAACGAACCAAAATGCTGATGTCATTGAAAAAGTGCTGACACTGATCATGGAGGATCGTTGTTTGGCCATCCGTGAAGTTGCTGATGAGGTTGGGATCAGCAGAGGTTTCGCAAACACAATTTTAACTGAGGATTTGGGCATGCGAAGAGTGGCGGCAAAATTTGTGCCCAAGCTGCTTCCGCCAGAGCAGCAACAACTCCACCTTGAGGTTGCGCAGGACATGCTGGAGTGCACCAACAGGGATACTGAGTTCCTGAAGACCGTGATCACTGGTGACGAGTCGTGGATGTATGGATATGACCCGGAAACCAAGGTCCAGGTGTCACAATGGAAGCATCCAACATCCCCGATGCCCAAAAGAGCACAACAGGTTCGGATCAATGTGAAGGTGATACTGGCTGTTTTTTTTTTATTACCGGGGTGTTGTACATCATGAGTAAGCACCACTAGGCCAGACTGCCAATAAGGAGCACTACCAAGAAGTCCTCCGCCATCTTCGTGATGCAGTTCGGCGCAAGAGACCGGAGCTGTGGGACGGACGCAACTGGCAGCTGCATCATGACAACGCCCCAGCTCATTCATCGCACCTGATCCAGGGTTTCCTGGCCAAGCACGGCATTCCGCAGGTTCGCCAGGCTCCCTACTCTCCTGACATGGCTCCTTGTGATTTCTGGCTGTTCCCAAGATTGAAGACACTGCTAAAAGGCTACCGTTTGGACAGCCGCGAGGACATCATACAGAATGCGACGGCGCAGCCGCACGCCATTCCAAAAGAAGCCTTCCAGAATTGCTTCCAGCGATGGAACGACCGCTGGGCTAAGTGTGTGGAGTCACAAGGGGCCTACTTTGAAGGGGATTAGGTATTGTAACCACCCAGATACAGAACTTTTTTTTCCCGGCCCAAGGTCGGATACTTTTTGGACAGAGGAGTATATGTACTTCGTTTTTCCTGTTCATATGACTTGCTTTAGTTCTCCTAGATCTGTGGCTCTCAACATTGTAAACATAATGCCCCCCACTTCAGTTAACAGAGAACCCCAGCACACCTGCACCCCCCTGAAATATGGCATAATAATCTTATTTGAAAATTTTACTTAAAAATAATTTAGTAATTTCAATTTGTATCTGTGAACTTAAGCTTACATCAATAAAGAATATTTTTATTTTAAAAAATCTTACATGAATAAACAATTATTTTTACTCTAAAAATGATGAAACAGACTTAAGGTTATATGACCTGCACTGACATTTGAGTTTGCCTAAAACATTATCAATGTAACCACGAATGCTGCTGCCTACTGGGATGGATTTCACTGTGTACATTGTGTGCTACTGCATTGTAAAAATCAATGAATCCCAGAGTTTGACAGCAAAATTGCAATTCTGTGCATATATAGGATGAAAAATATTACTGAGTCAATACGCTCTAGAGCTCCCCCTGGCGTATTTTGTTTTTCAGGTGATAAAGTATGATTGTAAGACTATTTAAAATCAATGCCATGATTTATCTATTGTATAATACCATTTGATTTGCACAATACCTACATACTCCATAGGTTTACCTTACTTTTAAGGCAAAGTTTTCAGAATGTTTTAAGTCACTTTTAAATTGAAAGTCAAACTAACTTCAAGGCTAGTTTCCCAAAAATTTAGGTGCACTGTTTTGTTGCTATGCAACCATTAAGGTTTTATGTTCATCACTATTATGTTGCCAGGCAACTACCTGATGCACAAAGTGATATGCAATGTGAATGCAGTAAATAAGAGCAAAGATATGTGATGGCACATCCTTTCATTTTTAAAATTGGAATTAAATGATAAGAAGCAATGTATATTTACAACATTGTCATAATAAAAAATAAGGTAAAAGTAAAGCCGTCCTTGTGCTAAATTAACCAAGAACCACACCATGAAAATGTAGTGGTATAATGGAAGTACAGCTCCACCATTCTTGACCATGAGCGGTCTGTTTCATGCCCTGGCTGCTTTACCCCCAGGGAAAGAGCCCCAGCATCCATTGGATAGGTTGGGAGGGCCCCAGAGCTGATCTGGACACTGTGGAGAACAGAAAAATCTCTTGCCCCTTCCAGAAATTGAAATCCCAACTGCCTAGCCCATAGCCTGTATTATGCTGACTAAGAAATCCGAGCTCCATCATAATAAAAGATTGAAATCATTATTTCAGCACAGATTTTAGAGTTTTCAGAAGAAAAAATCTATTAAGAAACAGGCATATTAGGAGTAATAAAATCATTTACCGAAGGAAGCGATCTTCTTGTCCATATATTATGGCTGGTTTTATGATTATAGCTTCTGGAAATTCTTCCTTCACAGCAAGTTCTCCGTAGTACTTGCTTCTCAAAAATTTGGAACCAGTCTTGATAATAATAGGCTGCAATACAGAATACACTTTATATAAGATCAGTCTTATTAACTAGGTGCTCATGAAAAAGTATTGGGGAGTGGAGGTATAGCAAGCAACATTTTTAACCTCAGCAATAGATAAGAGTGGTCAGCTTCACGCCCCTGCCACTTTACTTCTGAGGAAACAGCCCCTGGTACCCGCACTGCATAGGAGGCTGGGAGGACCCTACAGCTGGTGTGGATGTTATGCAGAAGAGAGAAATCTCTTGCTTCTGCTGGGAATCGAACCCCAATTTCATCATCATCCAGCCCCAGTCACTAAACCAACAGTGGTTCTGTGGAATGTTGTTTCTTCATTTTCTTTTCAATCAAACAAATGATTGAGCTATAATCCCCTCCTTACTTGATAATTACAAGCAACTATATCGTACACAGTTTCCCACCAAATACAAAATTAAGAACTTAATAATTATATGTACTTTCAGTAAAGGTTGTAATGCAAAGGTATGGTTTTTGTATCACTGTGATAACATTTCTGAGAGTATGGAACCATAAAGAATAAAGAGTATTCCACTGGCAATATTCTTAAAAATTAAGGTTTTACATATTACCAGGTGACCCAAGCATATTAAAAATTTACTGCCATGCTGTCTATTATGTTAGCACTTGCACAATTGATGTGCATTTTCCCTACAACCACAGCTACTGTCAACCTGATACAAGTTACCTTGCACTGTGAATTCCTTTGAAAATAATGTATCTATGGACTTTATAAGAACTGGAAAAATATTTGTTTTTTTCAGAAGTGGAATTCTGCCAAGCAAAAGAAAATGCATCAATAAGCATTCAATGAAGCTATACATCAGTGATTGAGTTCTCTGTAAAATACAGACCAACTGTATATACACTAACATGGCAGACAACATGACAGTCTAAAGTTACACGGGTCACCTGTTAATACATTACCACCATAATAAATACTGTACACAGATGATGGCACATGAAATAATAGTGAGAAAGTTGCAGTAACTGCACTGAAACTTTCAATGAACATTCCTTGATACAAGATTTTCCCTCATTTAACATTCAATTTCACAATACAGGATGGTACACAGATGACACACTAAACCTGCATGCAGGAGGTGCTAGGTTGAATTCTGGTTGGGACACTGGCTGCTCTGACTGAGCTCTGACAGCCAGGAACACATTCATATTTTTAATGCAAATAGTACCTCACCTTTGGGTTGCTGGTAGCATTCAGCGCTGACACATGGATAAATTTTTCGACTCCTGCTTCCTTAGCTAATCGAGCAAGAGTTCTTGCTCCTTTTACATGCACATCATCAAATGTGAAGTTTTTGGTTTCCCAGTCACGTCCAACCAAGTTGATCACAACATTGGAATACCGAATTGCTTTTTTAATTGATTCTTCATCCCGTAAATCATATGGTGCAAACAACACTTGACCCAAATCACCAACCAGTTTCAGACGAAGAGCATCATAGTGATCACCACGGTATGGTAAAATCATCTGAAACATGCAGCATGTCATACACAATAAATTGGTGATCCAGATCAAAACAATCTCAGACAAGGTTTTTTTTTTCCTCATAAAAAGAAGGCTTCCCATTAGTGTATGTAATGATATATCTTTCAGAAGAAAATGGATGGAAACTAAGAGCTTTATTATTAAGTGTTAATCTTTTCACTTTCTCACACTTAGGTTGGTAAGGCATATAAATTAATCTTAGAAAATATTTTGGATGAGCTACTGTTCTGTGGCACTCTAGCATCAAGCACACTTTGAATTCCTTTCAAAAACTGAATGTACATAATTAGATATAGGGGCTGGGATAGCGTAGTTGGTATAGCGACTGGCTATGGGCTGGACAACCAAGGGGTCAGAGTTTGAGTCCCGGTAGTGTCAAGAATTTTCTCTTCTCCACATCTTCCAGACCCAGGGTACCAGGGACTCTTTCCCTGGAGGCAAAGAGGCAGGGGCATGAAGTTGACCACTGACCTCCAACTAGTGTCGAGGTCAAGAAAATGTGGATCTACACAACCACTCCCACATATGCCTTCATGCCATAGTGCTTAAACCAAATTTACTTTTTTCCTTTTTACTTAATTAGATATTCAAAGAATGCTTTCTTTGGCAGGTTACAGAAAACAACATGATAGAAAAAGGATCACTTTAATTTCCCCTATATTAACAGCAAAATTTTCTACATATAAAAGGCAATTACGTCTAACAATAATCAAATTTAATGTGTGCAGAATGGCCACAAATGATTTCAATTGCTAGATTATAAGTGTCATATGAGTGCACAAAACACAAAAGTTAACTGAACAACCCCCGAAGTCATAACAGATGACACATTATGAATAAGAAATGCTTCGAATTTTCATAAATTTTACCTGAGTTCCTATTTTTCCAAGACGATTACAGACATAACGACCTAGAAAACCGGTTGCTCCAAATACAGTTGCAACAATGCCATTGAAACTCGATCGTCCACCTGTGCCTCTTTTAAGTGCAGATAAACTTGGATTTCTTATGGTTCGGACATCAGTGGAATATGTTGCATGAAGGCAAGTGATGCTTGCTGCAGCACCAACTTGGTGCTCTAAAAATATAAAGAATAAATATTATCCAGTTTAAAAGAACATCTGTGATCCCTGGTAAGAGAGAAGCTTTGCATGTTTGAGAACAGGGTGCTGGTAAGAATATTTGTACCTGAAAGGGTGGAAGTAAGAAGAGAATGAAGAATGTTATACAGTAAACACAATTATAATTTGTACTCTTCATTATACATTGTTAGGGTAACCAAAATATATAAGAATTAAATGGGCAATGTATGTAGCATGAAAGGAGTGATGTGAAATGCGTTAAGAAATTTTAGTCGATAAATCTACAGAGAATAATTGGGGACAATGATATTAGAGTGCGGGTGCTGAATTTAATTGGTTAACTCCGAGCAGGATTCAGAAA